ACATAATTATACATAATTGAATATAAGGAAGATAGCTTTGGTTCAGTAACATTTGCTATATGGGCAATAATTGTAGTGTTTTGAAAGTATTACAAACTAATAACAGCTGCTTCAAAAAATGCAATTTTTAACACACCCCCTTGTCCTTAACCAACCTGCCTCCTGTTGCAATCCTCAACATAAGTGTCTGGAGCTATTATTAGCTTTCACACAGCTTCCCTCTGATCAGATCTAGAATCTCGGTGTTGAAAGGAAGACTATTTGCATCTATTTCAACAATATAATTGGTAGTTTATAGTTCTTTGATTCACTCAATAGTTCTTTCTTCCTTAACCTATCATAACAGAGCAAAATAATCTTACAGCACTGAGAATATGCTGTGCTCCTGGTCAGTTGTGATTCACCTTTGTTATAGAACCCCTACAGTGTTGGCTCTTCCTGCTAACCTAGTCTAATACTGCTGTAATATCTGTTCTAAACTATACCATTTTATGCATTTAACTAAAGCTAGCAAGTGTCCTCCTCTTTCCTGAGCTCAAGCTTCACTTTCTTTATTTGTTAATTATAATATGTGTGACTCTTAATCCTCCTATAACAACTTCATTGGACTAAGAAGGTGACCATAGGTTCTATATCTGGTCCCTTGCCACTTTCTTCCACACTGTGCCCTCTTCTGCTTCCTGGCTGAAGGGAATACTAAATATCTTTGCTCCACACAGCCTCACATTATGATGTTCCTGCCTTAGACCCAGCTAACCATGAAATGAATCCCTTAAAGCATGATCCAGATAAACTTCCTTTAAGTTGTAGCTGTCTGGTATCGTGTCTTACCAAGGGGAAAAATGACTAATACAATATGTCATGTCTATGGTTCCTACCTAGGAGATTTTAGGTCTTATTTTCTAACACCTCCCCCTGTAAGCAATTGTTTTCACTCTCTCTTCATCAACAAAGATTCTCCTCTTATAAAATGAAATAAAACCAAATAGAATGGTTTTATCTTACCCTGTGAAAGAACTTTGCATGCATTTTGGGAAGCATATTGCATAATAATCTAAACAGAATGTCAGAGAAAATTGAACTTTGACAAAGTTAATTGATAATTGTGGAAATTAGTTGATATTCAATAAATAGTTGAAAATGAATAATTGAAATATGTAATAAGTAAATAATAAACCTAATTTTAAACTAACAGCATATATAATTTTTAATTTTAAATTAACAGCATATGTAACTCAAATAGTCACTATTTTGAAGCATTTTTAAGTGTAATTTCTGTCAAGAACCAATGAATAAATTTTACTTCATAAAGTAAAATAATTTGAGCAAATTTATAAATGATTTATTTTTTGCCAGGTAATATTTTGAAGTTATTACTTATACATATTCATATGTGTGCATAGATATATATGTGTGCCTGTCTGTCTGCATTTCAATAAACATTATTTTCTTTAAAATTCACCAAGATAATATTTATAATTAGCTAATGGATTATCTCATTCTCAAATGTCTTTAAACATTATAGAAAATCAACAATAAAATTTATTGGTTGATTTTTTTGTTATTCATAAGTCTGTTTAAGCATGTATAAATTTTTTTTAATTTCCCTAGAAAATGCAACTAGAGAAAGGCTGTACATCTCTCAAGTGATTTGTCAAAGTAGAAAATATCTTAATACCTGAAAGCCAGGAGCTGAAATTTTGAGTCATAAGAAATTATTGCAACCAATCTTTATTTTTCAAAGAGAGTAATCAGGTCACATTTCATATTTGGGATTTATAGACCAGAACATCTCCTATGAGCAGAATCAAATTAGAAGATGGTAAAACCTGTCATTTTAGGAAAATTTGCGTTACATGATTAGTACAATCAGGTAAATGTTCAAAGACTTAACTTTTCATTGCAAAACATGAAATGTGTAGAAGCATATAAAGATCCAGAAACAGATTAATAAAAATATCTAATGAGAATGAATTATACTAGAAAACCAATAGTCGTTACAAAAAAGAAAAGTTTTGTTTGTTGAGCATAGGTGAAGTTATGCTAAAACATTTAATTTTTGGAAGACATCAAAGTAAGCATAAAAGACTGTCTCAGTTGCAGCAGAAAAAAGCAAAGAATGAAGGAAGGTTGGTGGTTCACTGCAGTCTTTGGTGTTCCTTGGCTAATGATGCAATTACTCATCTTCTGTCTTCACATGACATCTGCCTCTGAGTCTCTCTGTGGCTCCAAATCTCCCTTTGACATTGGCACAATTAATTCAAATTGAATTAAAGCCCACCCTAATGACCTCATTTTAGCTTGATTGCTTATGTAAGGACCTTATTTTGAAAAAAAAGGTCATATCCTATGATACTGGAGGTTAAAACTTCCGTATATATTTTCAGTATTGTGTGAGGACACAATTCAACCCATAAAAGACATTGTTGACTCAGAAGTTTGTCTTTTTGTTGTTGTTGTTTTTGTTGTTGTTGTTTGGTACAGGGAATTGAACTCAGAACCTTGCACTTGCCAGGCAGGTGCTTATGCCACTGAGCTACATCCCCGGCCCTCAGAAGTATTTCCTATACAGTTCAATTGCAACCTTCACTCCCCTCCCCACCACCTTGCCAAGCCCCCTTCTTTTTTTTTTTTTTTTTATTTTAATCAAGCCCCCTTCTAAATCTCAACCCAGAACTTGAGACAGATGAACAAATACTGTTTTAATAACAGTATTTTATTTTATGATATTTTATTTTTCTATTTTAAATTGTATTCAGCTATAATTGATATATAAAGCTTGTACATACTTAGTGTATGCATTTTTTTTTTTTTTTTTGGTTTTTCTCTGGTACCAGGAACCGAACTCACAACCTTGTGCTTGCCAGGCAGGCGCTTTTGCTGCTGAGCTAAATCCCCAGCCCCTAGTGTATGCATTTTGACTATATTGAATGAATGTATACAGCTGAGATACAATCATCACAGTAATAACACCGAACACACCAACAGCTCTCAACATACTTTCTATGTTCTCTTTGGAAAGGGCAATTATTTTGTCTTGTTTTGTTTTTGTAATAAGAACACTGACCCTGCAAACCTTACCCAGCTATGGTAAAGTTTCAGTACTATTTGGTAACCATCAGTGCTATGTTGTACACTAGGTCTCTACAACTTTTTTTGTCTTGCGTAATTGAAACTCTATGCCCATTAAGCCATACTTCTCCATTTCCTTCTCCCTTTCATCCCTGGCAACTGCCATCTTTTTGCTACTTCTATGAGCTTGATTGTTTTTCAAAACCTTATATATACGGAAAAATCCTGCAGCAAGGTGAAATAAGTCAATTACAGAAGGACAAATAGTATTTTCTTATATCTAAGATTTATATTTGTCTATTAGCTACCACACATAGTGAACTATGAGTATTCCTTTAAGTTAATGGTGACTTCAGCTAATACTAAAAAGAGTTTATAATTTCCAATAAGTATGCTAAAGATCTAATTCTGCCTAATAGTTACATAAACAAAGAGCAACAAACAAATTGATGAATTATCCTTAATATAAAATATTTATTCTTAAGGTTAAAATGTTTTAGGCTTAAATTACATTCATTTTGGTGGAAGTATAATCTCTGAAATTTTTGCATAAATAGAAATGTGTTTGGGAGCCAGGCATGGTGGTACACACCTGTAATCCCAGCCCTCGGGAGGCTGAGGGGGGGGGATCGCTGCTAGTTCGAGGCCAGCCTGGGCTACATGTGAGTTCAAGGCCATCCTAAACTGCATAGCAAGACCTTGTCCCAAAAAAAAAAAAAAAAATGTGTTTGAAAAGCACAAAATGGCCAATAATAAAAAGGAAACAATGTAAAAATTATGTTATACTCTGTTGATAGAAATTTAAAGCTTCGTTCATTTCCTTTTTTTTTTTTTTCCAGAACTAGGAATGGCACTCAGGACCTTGTGCTTGCCAAGCAGGCTCTTGTACCTCTGAGCCATGTCCCCAGCCCACATTCATTTTCTATTAGCAGTTTTTCTCTAAACATTAGCCAACATCTGGCAATTAATCTTTCTGCATCCAATCTAAGACTGAAGTTATTTTTGAGATATATTGTTACTCTGTTTACCGAGGGAATAAAACTTGACCCTTCTTACCATATCCAGAAAATTCTTAACTTCCCTGAAAATTTCACTGGCATCGTCACATAGGTTTTTTTTCAGAGCCGCAAATATATATTCCCATAAAAGCTGTGTAAACATAGTTACACTCATGGATGTTGTGAAGATTTGCATGTTGCAATGTGAATTCAATTTTTTGGGTAATAGGAAAGTACAGCCTCAGTCAAACTTGTTTTATTCATCCTTATGTCAATCCTGAACTTGTCTCTTTCTGATGAGAAGTGGATTTGTTGAACATGTACTTGATAGGAGTCTTTTATCTTTGTCAGTTATGTATTATCTATATTACATCTCCAAACTTTTCTTGTAAGAAGTCAAACAAAGAAGAAATGAAGGTTTGAGGCATGGAACTGGCCTGAAGCTTTCCTGTTCAATTCAGCAGACAGCTATGGTCTCTGACAATGTGTTATGGTACAGTGCCACATAATCAGTACTTCCCACTTACATTATTTCTGTTAATCTTCACTATTCCCTAAAAAGTGGATGCTCTTATTCCTATCTTAAAAATAATGAGCTGAGGTTCAAAAAGTTTCAACAAGGGTCAGAACAGGACTTGAATCTGGACCTTCTAGACTTCTAAGGCTTTGCCTTGGTTCCCATTCTGTGCTGCCTGTGTACAAGCAGAATCCTTGTCAGTGTGTTCACCAGGAGACAGTTGCTTCTAATGAAGGAAACACCTTTGAAATCCTATGGTAATCTCCAGTAATAACAACAAGCTGGTCTCGGGGCTGGGGATTTAGCTCAACGGCAAAAGCGCTTGCCTGGCATGCGCAAGGTTGTGAGTTCGGTTTCCGGTACCGGAGAAAAACCAAAAAAAAAAAAAGCTGCTCTCATTTGTTTTCATACAGGTACATGGCCATTATTGATCCCTTAAAACCCAGATTGTCTGCCACAGCCACCAGGATCGTCATTGGAAGTATCTGGATTCTGGCATTTCTACTTGCTTTTCCTCAGTGTCTGTATTCCAAAATCAAAGTCATGCCAGGCCGTACCCTTTGCTATGTGCAGTGGCCAGAAGGTCCAAAGCAACATTTCACGTAAGTTAAATCTCATTTATGATTTTCAACTCAACTTACCAAAGACTTAGGGAAACAGAGATTGGGGGAACTTTAAGCAAATAAGACACAGACATTTCCTTTGGGGACTACACATTACTTGGGAAAATAAGCATGTAAAAATACTACAACACAATATGATGTGGTCAGAACGTTGTTTAATTGGAAAGCTGGTGATTTCCATATGGAGGAGCCCAGAGTTTCCTAGAGGAAGTGATAAAGATGAAAGCAAGGTGCAGAAGGAAGCAGAGCTGATATTGATTGAGAAATGAGCAGCAGGGGAACCAAAGTACAGTGTTGATTGCTCCTTTAGGAAGCCTGGCTGGAGGGGCAGGGGAGGGGAAGGCTTGTTGGGTCTTTCAGTTTGGTTTTGGTTTGATCTGATTTGTCTTCATTTGTTTCAGCATTAAGAAACCCAAATACTAGGTTGGAAAATAAATAGTAATCCTATGTGATAGAACCTAATATTTTGTACTTTGGACCTACTGTAAGAAAACCAAAGGGGAAAAAGGGGAAAATTACATAAGTATGTAATTGATTATAATTTTAGTCTTATCACTTAATTTTTGTAAATAAAGTATGTATTTTTCTATTTTCATTACTTATTTTTTCCTTTTAAAACAGGAAACAAAATGATTAGGAGTTTCTTTAAAGGGGATTGGTATAAATATATTATATATATGTATATATACATATATATGCTAAAACAAGGGTAAATTTTGTGTGTCAATAGATATTAAAATATGTCAAAAATATTTCCATAAATATAAATCAAAGGATATTCCTTAAAAAATAAAAATAACAAATGATTCAAACAATGGTCATCTTTTAAGCAGTCATTTTAGCTAATTCTAATCTTAAGAGTCCAGGTTTCTGAAGAAAACAATCAGAAGGCACTTACTGAAGGAAAATCAGGCAGTAGTTATTAAAGTAAGTGCTGTCCTCTATCTATTTTAACAAATCTTAGCTGCTTGATAATGTATTGTCCTTAAAGTGTTTGTTAACTAAATTACTTCCCAATGACCTTCAATTGATATCTAGTTAGCTACTAGGATGCAGATAGGTAAGGGGATTTGAGGTTCGCTTCACAAAACCCACAGGTGTTAAGACTATTATAATAATGTCCTTAATTAATTTAAAGTCTTCCTAAGACAGCAGAAGCCATACGAAAGATTACAAAATTCTATTTGGCCATTGTAGTATGAGTTATGCTCCTCTTTCTGTGCTGCAACCTTATAATTTTGGTCAAAAGATGTGGAATCCTAACATTTAATTTGATAATGACAGCGTCCTGTCTTTGGCATGACTAATAGATTTCAGCTTATTTACCAAATAAACAATGCCACCAAGCACAGCATGACCTTGGAACAATGCATGCAAATGCCTTTAGCTGATTTTTTAAATAAAAATATAATGTGTGTTATGTGTTCAATATGGTTCCAGGTACCTAGTCTCCCCCCTTTTTTGTTACCTAGTTACATTTTTTTCATCTGGATGAAAATAGTTTATTTCAATGTGTCTGAAGTTACCAGGATATACAGAATAGTCCCACACATAAGAAACCATGTGTTAGGGATTTTTCTGTTCCACCCCTTTTCTCTAATGTCATATTTAGTTACTTTAGCTCAACAATTGCTAAGCAGAGCAAGGAAAAGCCTTAGTCCTCAATTCTGGGCAAAAGAAACTTTTACACATTGAAAAAGCCCTTCACCTGAGATTTGGTTTTCCTGCACAAAATAAAGACCTGCAAAGATCAACTGCCAGCACTTGAAACATACCCATACATGACAGAAGCATAGTATTTTAATATATTTGTAAAATGAGCACATAGAAATAAAGCCAAATAATCTCTGGCATTTTTATTATAATTTATTTTCTTTTTCATTTTGAAGAGAATAAAAAAGTCAAAAACAAAATCAAAACAAGAAAAAACAATAAAAATGATACAGAATTTCAAAACAAGTGATAGGAAATTAACAATGGTTATTATATTACATATTATCTTCAAAATGGTTGCTCAGAATAGCAGATATAGGTATGCAAGACTGATCAATTAGGCATCACCAGTTCCTTTCAATAAACCAATAGAAATTAGTAGTACAATTATTAGGGCTACCTTGTGTGTGTATGTGTATATATTTTTTTCTTCCTTCGTTTCTCTTTTCCCCGAGCTGAACAAACTCAAGCTCTAGATTCCTCCACACGAGTTTTCTTTATTGGTTGCAGGTACCACATCATCGTCATCATCCTGGTGTACTGCTTCCCGCTGCTCATCATGGGCATCACCTACACGATTGTTGGGATCACGCTCTGGGGAGGGGAGATCCCAGGAGACACGTGCGACAAATACCACGAGCAGCTGAAGGCCAAGCGCAAGGTAAGGTCCCCAGCGGCTTACCCAGCGCTCCTGTGTACTGCGACACAGCAGAGAGGCAAAGCCTGGTTGTGACTTTTTAATGTTGTGTTATTTGATATTCTACTCCTATGTTACAAAAATGCCTTTGTTTTATAATTTTATTCATTTACCATGCTGTCTTTTTGTTGTTCTTGTCATTCTTCTGTAAGCCACTGCCCAAGTACCACAGCAAAAATCAGTCTCGGATTTGATAGTCCCTTCCTTACAACGGGACTTGTTTGAATCGCTTTTTGCAAAGTATTTTCAGTCATTCCACCTGAAATTGTACAAATTTTACTTTAAATGGTTGGTATTAACTTTGACTTTCCCACTGCTCTGTCACTGGTCTGCCAGAAGCTTCCTGTATCCCCCAAATGACACCTTGGGGGGATACAGGCAAGGGCTATGATCCCTGGCAAGGGCTATGATCCCTGACCATCTCTCCCTCAGACACACACCTGTCTCCCTCTGCCTCTCTTCCTCTTCTTCTTTCTCCGTTCTTTCCCCCAACCATCCATCATGCATATCGGATTAATGGATGGGAATTGTACTAGTGCTATTCTGCATCTCAGTGAGTGATACCAAAAAAGCATATTTCTAATCCGTATTAAGAAAATCTCGGGGCTGGGGATTTAGCTCAGTGGCACAGTGCCTGCCTGGCAAGCACGAGGTCTTGAGTTCGATTCCCAATACCAGAAAAAGAAAAAAGAAAATCTCTTAAAAATGGAGTATTGGCATATCATTACAATTGTTGCAAAGGCTTTTTCAACCACCTTTATTTAATCCAGTAAGAAAAATCTGAAAAATGAGAAACTTGTGAATTTGAAGAATTTTACTCTGTCTTCTGTCCATTTGATGTGTGTCTGGAGCATACTAGATGTTGTGCCAAAGAGAACTAAGTGTACAGTCCTTTTATTTGCCCCATTTATGATGTATTTGTTTATGTATGCAGAACTAGCAGCAACCCATGGATGTGCCCTTTGAAATGGCTCAGGAATATTAAAACTACTTACTATTGCATCTACTTATTAGTCATCAATGAGGTTTTAAAGAATAAGATAGCAAATACACTCAATGTTAATACTATGCTTTTCCCCAATAGTGACTGATGAGGCTACATACGAGTTATGTGCATGGTACTTGATATTTATCTTGACCTCTGGTATTTGAATAAAGTAAGCATATTCTTTTCATATATATATTATATACATAATTTATATACATAATTGTATGATATACACATTTTATACATTTAAATTCATCATATACAAAATTTATGTTTCATTATATACATAATTTGTATACATAACTGTATTATATATTATATAATTTATATGCTTAATTTCATTATATACATCATTTTCTTTGTTTCTGATCAAGATGTGCACAAATAACCAAGCTGTCATTTAACACTTAAAAAAGATCCTAAAGCTAGGGCAACATTAGAAATGTGTTCATCTTATAGGAAGTTTTCCATTTATAATTTCAATACTTGTTTTCTAATATCATCTACATATTGAAAGGCACTCTTATTGGGCTAATTCCTTATAACTATTTTGAGTATCATCCCATTCTATAATTCATGCACTGTTCTATGTATTTCAGAATGATTTATGTCTTTATGTAGCCTACTTAATTCTATTTCTTTCTGATAGGTTTAGATATCCTTTTTTAACCCTTTCCCCTGGTGACTCCTGAACAAATTAAAATAAATCCAGAAATTGTAGATTATAGCTTATTTTTCTTCATATTCCTGTAAGGTTTTCCTAGGAAGAAATGAAACTTTAATCTGAGTTCTTTTAGTTTTGAATTTAGGGTCCCAGAAGAAACAAAACCAAGTGGAAGTATTTTTATTTTACTTTGCCACTCTATAAGTGGTAAGAACAAAGCATAAATAGCCCCTTTTGATGTCATCACTCTATCATTTCAAAGTAGAAATATTCAGTCAAGCTAGGAGTGTGACTCTTCTAGAATATTTCAGAAAAAGAGGACATTTAGAAGTCCTGGGACCATTCATCTTTCTCTTAGATTGCATCTGTGCTAATGTAATGCAGGGTGACAGCCAGGCCAGGGGTTCCCATAAGTCACCTTGTCATTCATGATATGACCACAGTATCTAGACAGTAATTTCTAACAAGCTCTTAATTTATTCATTTTATAGGGCTACTAAGTTTATTTTATTTTAATTGACATAATATTGTATCTATCTAAAACTAAAATATTAGTCTGCTATGATCTGAAATAGTTATTGCTAGTGATCATGTTTTTATATTTTTTCATATGCTCACAGATGCAAGTGTTACCTGAGATGAGCCATTTAATTATAGGCTGTCTCTTACCAAATATGTTTTTGGTAACACAGAGTGGACTTGAGAGATAAAATTCAAAGGTATTGATTATAAAATACAAATTATGGTAACTATCAAGAGGAACAACTCCAAGAGCCAGGGATATATCTCAGCGGCACAAGCACCTGCCTGGCAAGCGCAAGGTCCTGAGTTCAAGTGCCTGTACCAAAAAAAAAGAACAACTCCATAAGGAACTCTGCGCCTAGCTCTTAGCAATAAAAGATTAGCAGATATTGATTGACTCCCAAATTCACTCCAAATGTGCAGGATTAAATGTCCTTCTAGTTGAAGAATAGCTAATACTAGTATATTACATTTCTACTTTATATGATATCTAATATGCCTAGTAATTCAGCTAACACAAAACCTCCAGAGAAGTTAAGATTGATCAAACTCTCTCAACTTTTACATGTATGTTGCCAAAGGATAAATAGAACATAATACCACTGGCTAAACTCAACCTGGATAAAAAGATTGTGTTACAGTTTTGAGAAATAAATTAATACCTCCAGGAATAGTTCATCATTAAAGTTATAGTCTTGAACCTGAAAATCAACTTTGAAATTCTACAGTTCCAAGTAGCTTAATGAAATCTGAGATTGTTTAAACATTTGAATGTCATGTATGTATAGAACTGGTCTTTCATGGAAGAAAAGAAATATTAGCAAAATATTTTTAGAAACTTCCATGTACTGCATTTTATAGTTTCAAAGCACTTTGTGTACCTCATAACACCACAAAAGTTATCTTTAACTTATAATATTAAATGTCTATTTAAATATACACATTGAAAGAATAATGAGCCTCTACATTGTAGCAAAGGTTAACTTAAAAATTCTTGTGCTTTAAATAAAATTATACTTAGCTAGATGCAAAATATAAAACTTTATGTCATGCAATCCTCAAAGCTTGGGTAAGATTTATCCAGTTTCTTCAATGATAATTGTTTGCAAATCTTGCTAAAACTTTCTTTTAAGATATATGTACTATTCAGTACATTGCTGTGACATTCAATTTAGAAATTGAAGTTATTATATTTTTATGAACTCTTAAGAGAGAATACTTTTCTAATATTATGCTGTTTGCTGAGTATGTTACAGGATACAGTCACCAATTTTGGCTACCTATTAAGATCTTCACTGAGATCCCATATGTGAAAATTATTTAAACTATATATTTAAATCATATCAACAACCACACAACAAAATTTGACTTAAGAAACCTTATCTTTTAATACAGTATACTTTATATTGACATATAAAAGTCAGGTTTTAAATACCAGTAAACAACCTAATTTAAACTACACTTCCTATTTTAGAATGATAGATCATATCCGCAATACTGGATCTAATAAGAAACTAAAGTTTCATGAATCTCTCACCTAAAATCACTTGGATGAAAGTCAAATGTAATATAAGAAGGAAATATACAAGCATAGGGGCTAACAGATCTCATATGTAGTATGTTTTGGTAAAGAAATTAAATAAACTCTACTTTTTTTCAGTCTTGAAAACTTTTCTGTTTTGTTTTCTTGAGTATATCTAAGTAAGAAAACCATAGATTTTGCCTCAAAGTTATTTTCAGTGCTTATGAAACTTAGGGTCTTATCTATAACAAACTAATCCATAGGGCTATGACTTGAACTCACTTTGGTAACCGATGTGCCCTCCATCTTTCCCATGAGAATATTTTCATAAATAAAGATTACCTCTCTCTTCCCAGTGTGTGTGGGAAAAAGTGACATTCTCTTAGAAATGTTTCTAAGATCCTTGGCAATGATTAACTATGTCCCAAAATACATGTGTGACTGAGACAGATGAATCCCTGCTGGTGTCTTGGAATAACTACCTAGAACACGAATGCTAGAAGGCCAATGATTGACAAGATGGAAAGAAAATAAATTCCACTAACATATATAAACTGGAGCCAAAGCCTAGCTAATGCTTTGAATTATTACAATTACTAGATGTGTCTGTGTGAATAAGAAGTGGTGGTGAGATGGAGAATGAAAGGAAAGAATGAGAATCGTTACATTACAGCAAGCTGCATTCATTCATGAAAGGTCATTTATCAAGAACTCCTACTGTGAAAATGCCATAAACAAAGTGTGTGTGTCTGACTCCAGGAAAAATGTTTTCCCATCTTTTGACATCCTTAAGACCCAGGTGAAGGAAAATAGGCTGGTTGTGAGTTGTACTGGTACTGGTTCAATTAGACTCTGTGCTGATGAAGAGCTGATCTCCACCTGGACAAGGTCTCCAGAGGCGTGCCGCAGGGCTCTGCCTTTTGGGGGGATGTGTGCTGTGCTCATGACAATTAAATCTACAGAGAGACACAGACATGCAATGACTGAGCCAGGGGCTAGGAAAACCAAGAGCACAGTGGGACGATGAGGAGCAGGATCCTCCTGTGCAAGGAGCAGGATCCTGGATGTCAACCATTTGCACTTCAGTTGTTGCCTCACGTGGACACATCTTTGGCTTTTGTACAGCTGATTAGCTAGAAATTGAGGAAATTTGCAGAAGGTTAGTTATAAGGACCTTTTGCCATTTAAATGCTGTGGTTCCAGTATCTGGCACTGTGCCCTTCCTAACAGGCAGCTAATCCATTTTATTTTTATTGTGCCCTTGTGTG